CATAAATAGGCAATATTTTTGCTCTCCATAATCTAAGACTATAAATGGAATATTAAGCTTTTTATCACATCCAGTCCATGTTTCTTAATTGCAAGGACAAGACACATTAGGGAATGATCTTCCCTAGACTCCTGCATTTTACACTATTCATATTTAAATAGTCCTCCAGGGATGGCAAAAAAGAAGCATTTACCAGTCTAGATCCTGTGTACATTTGTGTTTCAGAGCATGTGGGTTGAAGCTGAGACCACTTTAGCTTGCCTTATACTAGGCATGTGACCACTTTAGATTGCCTAATACTAGGCATGTGATCAAAGAGAAGTTTCGAAGCACTGTTTTTCCTAATCTGAGTATATGGCTTCCAAATTACCCTGAGAAGAAAAGGGAGTTGCAGAATATTATAACCTCTGCATAATGGTAAGATTTTTACTGGAGAGTAATTTAGTTGGGATTAGAATTTGAAAAAGCAAATCTGTTCAGTGTCATTACATTAAGAATGCAGTGTATGGAAGGCACCTGTGGAAAGCTAGAAAGTTTAAGGACTTCTCTAGAAGAGACGGCTAATCTAAAGTAGATGGTGAAAATAAAAGAAACCATGGGTTCTTCTGTTTTATTGGAAAATTTAGTTAACATGGTGACTCTGGCTAATAAAACAATGAATGTGGAAAAGAAATAGATGTACATTGGTGTTAAGTAAACATTACAAGGTGGCGCATATTGGTAGAAGAGGGCAAGAGAGATAAGGAAAAAGAAGTAAATTCTATTTTGAGTGTTCCAGAAAAGTGTTATGAAAGTGATGATTTGCCATTGTTAGAGTAGGTTACTACCTTCACATTTCCTGAAGGAAACTGAGGAAATGTAAGACTGTGGAACTGTATCTATGAGAAACATTTATTAAACACCTACTCCTTTTCTATGCTAAATTTAGCAATGGCCAAGCAAAAATTCTTGTTCTTATGTCACTTTATTTAAATATGTGTCATGCATATTGTGTATACAAGGGTAAGTCATAAAGTATTGCTACAAAATAATTGAAAACTTTTATTAAACAAATATATCAAAATGTGAAGCTAGTGTTTCTCAATATATCCTCCATCTAGCCCTGTGCACTTTTAAGTTCATGTTTCTATGTCTCTAATGCTTCCCTGAATAATTCTTCACTCTAATTTGCATCTTGTTAAAACCACAGTTTTGGAATCCTCAAGGTATTCAGATCTTGTTCCTTATAAATGTTCATTGAGTCTTGTGAACAAAAACAACCTGAAGGACAGTATCATGGACGCAGGATGAATAAGGCAAGGTTTCCCAGTGAAATTCCCTTAGAGCAGCCCCTGCTACCTTGAAGAATGAGGAGGCACATTCTAATAATGGAACATTTTCTTCATTGCAATTTTCCTGATTTTTTTTTTTTTATCACCACTACAGTATTAATTTTCTTAAAAACTCTTCATAATAAACCCTATGATCATCCTGTGTCCTTTGAGAAAATCTACCAAGATTGCCTCTTTGACATGCCCAAAACAATCACCATAAACTAAGCTGACCTCTGTATCCTGAATTGAGCTTGCCCAATAGATCCCCTCAGAAGCTATCATTTTGATTGGATCCTAAGGATACTAAGATAAGTGTATTTTTAAGGGACCTTGCGTATAGCCATCTACTGATCACATAGATGTGTTTAAACAGGTTTGATTTATTTAGTTTTTAATGAGCTCTTGCATGTATGGATTGGAACCAATACTTTTTGACTTATCCTCATATACCATTCTAATGTACAGCTGTTCAATGATGTGAATTATACAATATTGTGTGTCTATCTTTTTGCACGGATTATGTGTTTACATATTGTTGCTAGTAGCCAATGGGTCAGTTGCTGCTAATGGTGATCTCATGAGTACAGTAAAATTGATATACTGATAGAGTTTTAAAGACTGTGATCTTTCAGAAGCAGATCTGCAGACCTGTCTTTTGAGGTGTCTCTGAGTGGGTTTGAACCACTGTCACTTGGCTAGTAGTTGAGCCCTTAGCCATTTTCACCATTCTGGAATGTGTTGGTGGTGCTAAGAGTCTTTGAGTCAATTCCAACTTATAGCAACCCTGAATAGGGTTTCCCAAGAATGGCTGGTGGGTTTAAACTTCTGACTTTGCAGCAGTTAGCAGGACCAGTGCAGCATACTCATGGGTACACACACACACACACACGGACTTGGAATGAACACACAATGGAAAAATGTTGTTCCATAAATTTTTGAAGCAAATGTATGTATATATACATATATATTTTGTTTTCTTTACATTGAGATACAATCCATACTGTTGTAAAGCACCATCCAGTCAGAGTTTGACTGGTGAGTTTGAACTGCCGACCTTGCTACTCAAACAGACCCTGCTGTCCAGAGCATTAACCCACAGCTCCATACCAGGACACACACTCTCTCTCTCTGTATATATATATGTGTGTGTGTCTGTGTGTTTAAACATCTATCTATATATCTATATTTATATCCATAAATCTAGAAATATATAAATATATAAATGTGTTGTTAAGTGCCACCAAGTCACTTCTGACCCATAGTGACCCAGTATAGGATTTTTGAGGACTGGCTGGTAAGCTTGAAACACCCACCTTGCACTTCAAACTGACTTTTCAGTCCAGCACATTATCCTGCAGTGCCATCGAGTCAGTACTGACTCATAGTGTCCCTATGCACAACAGAAACACTTCCTGGTACTGGGCCAACTTCACAATTGTTGCCAAGCTTGAACCTATTGACACTACCACTTTGCCAATCCATCTCACTTGGGGTCTTTCTCTTTTACTCTGACCCTTCACCTTACCAAACATGACATTTTCCTCCAGCAACTGGGCTCTCCTGACAATATGTCTAAAGTATGAGAGACAAAGTCTGATCATCCTGACCTCCAAGGAGCACTCAGGCTACACTTCTGTTTGTTTTTTAGCAGCCCATGATATTTTCACTACTGTCCTCCCACACCATAACTCAAAAGCATCAATTCTTCTATGGTCTTCCTTATTCACTGTTCAGCTTTTGCATGCATATGAGGTTATTGAAAATGCATGGCTTGGGTCAAGCCCACCTTAGTCCTCAAGCTGACATCTTTGCTCTTCAACACTTTAAAAAGGGTTTGTGCAGCAGATTTGCCTAATGCAATACATTCTTGAGCTGCTTTCATGAGTGTTGATAGTTGATCCAAGAAGAATGAAGTCCTTGACAACTTCAATCTTTTCTCCATTGATAAGAAATTTGTTTATTGGTCCAGTGATGAGGATTGTTATCTTTACTTTGAGATGCAAACCATACTGAAGGCTGTGGTCTTTGATCTTCTTCAGTAAGTATTTTAAGTCATTGACAGAGAACTTCCAGAAGTTGAAGACAGTTTCTAAATAGGACATGGAATGAGGGATATCATTGTTTATGTCAGATGGATCTTGGCTGAAAGTAGAGAATACCAGATAGATATTTACTTGTGTTTTATTGATTACATAAAGGCTTTGTCTGTGTGAATCATGACAAGCTATGGACAACATTGTGAAATATGAGTATTCTGAAACACTTAATTGTGCTCATGAGGAACCTGAATATAGACAAAGAGGCAGTTGTTAGAACAGAAAGAACAATTAGGAAACGCGTGCAGCAGAGTTGTATTATTTCACCATACTTACTTAACTTGTATGCTGAGCAAATAATCTGAGCAGCTGGGATATATGAAGAAAAATGTGTTATGAGAATTGGAGGAAGTCTCATTAACAACTTGCAATATATAGATGATGCACCTTGCTTGCTGAAAGTGAAAAAGGACTTTTAATAGGCATATAAACCCAAAATACAAGCCCACTGCCATCTAGTAGATTCTGACTAATAGTGACACTACATTGGGTTTCAGAGACTTTAAATATTTATGGTAGCAGACAGTCTCATCTTTCTCTCACAGAGCCACTGGTAGGTTTGAACTGCCAATCTTCTGGTTAGTACTTCAATGTCTAACTTAGTGTAGCACCACAGCTCCATCCCTTATTCATATGGTTAGATAAAAAACAAATATTAGTTTCCTTTTCATTTCTGCTTTTATAACTTGAAGTCAGAATATAAGACAATAAAGAACATACATGATAAGAATTAAATACGATACAATTTGCTATGACTTGGAACTTCTTGAAATCTTTTTTGAGATCTTTAGTGTGTAAACTGTAACCTGAAACTTGGATTATGTTCTGACATTTGGTTTATGTTCTCTCTCTCTTTTTCATCAGTCTTTTACTGTTTCTTAAGAAACTATATTAAAATTTTGAGAAGAGTAATGAAACAGGAAGAAAATACAACTTTTGACAACATGGTATGATGATTTTATAAGTGAACTATGAAAGCACTTTGAAATGAGTTGTGTACAATTTTTCTCTGTCTTTCCAACACATTGCCTCTCATATTAATCAAAGCTTGCTGAAACCTGAAGAAACATATTCATCTGAGAAAATTACCATTGTTGCCAAATCTGTAACATTAATATTCATGTGCCTGAAGAGTCACTTACTTTTATATTGTTTTCATGTTATAGCCTCATATGAAACAAGATAAGGAACTCTGGCAGTGTATTGGTTATTAATTGGTTTGCTAATCTCAGGGCTAATAATTCAAAACTACCGGTGGTCAGTGGTCCCGTGGGAGAAGGTCGAGGCTTTCTGCAACTTGTAAAGATTTACAGTCTTGGAACAGGTCGTTATGAGTCAGAACTGACTTCACTGCACATAATCACCACCACTACTATGTAACTAGATAAATAAATAAGTATTCTGAATTTCACTTTATTCATTAAAAATCAATACGTGGAAAGATAAGTGATTATGCACTGATAAGTAGGCATTCCATAATCAATAAAAGGTATTTGAGTTCCAAATGCAGTACTCATACTGTAAAATCATTTCTTTTCTCCTTGTAGATTAGCTGTTTGTAATGTCTACTTTCTCCACATCTCCTGACATAATGCAGCAAAATAAGAGTATAACTGAGTTCATACTATTTGGATTGACACAGGATCCTAAGAGGCAGAAAATGGTGTTCATACTCTTCTTAATTTTCTACATTGGAACTGTGGTCGGGAATTTACTCATTATTGTGGCCATCAAGTTCAGTCCAGCCCTTGGGAGTCCAATGTACTTCTTCCTGTTTTATTTGTCCTTAACTGATGCCTGCTTTTCAACTTCCATAGCCCCTAGATTAATTATAGATGCCCTCTTTGCAAAGAAAGTCATCTCCTACAATGAATGCATGACACAAATCTTTGCACTGCATTTATTTGGCTGCATGGAGATCTTCGTCCTCATCCTTATGGCTGGTGATCGCTATGTGGCCATCTGCAAGCCTTTGCATTACCAGACCATTATGAGACAACAGGTCTGCATCATGTTGATCATTCTCTCCTGGATAGGATCTTTTATACATTCCATATCTCAGATTGCCCTGGTCTTGAAATTGCCTTTCTGTGGACCCAACCTGATTGATCATTACTGTTGTGATTTGCAGCCCTTGTTAAAACTTGCCTGTATGGACACTTATGTAATCAACCTACTACTGGTGTCCAACAGTGGGGCCCTTTGTTTGAGCGGTTTCTTGCTTCTAATAATCTCATACTTTGTTATCTTGCATTCACTGCGAAATCATAGTGCAGAAGGGAGAAAAAAAGCCCTTTCCACCTGCACCTCCCACATTACTGTTGTTGCATTATCCTTTGGCCCATGTATATTCATATACACACGTCCACCAACTACTTTCCCCATGGACAAGATGGTGACAGTATTTTATACCATCGGGACACCCTTTCTCAACCCACTCATCTACACACTCAGGAATGCAGAAGTGAAAAATGCCATCAAAAAGCTATGGAGTATCAAAATTACCTCAGAAAACAAATAATGCAACGAGGAACATGATACAATGATATATCCAGTAATGGGACTGAATCTTTACAGACATAAAACATGATAGTGTGTGAGTATTGTGTAAAATAAAATCATGTGCATGATGCTGAGTTAACATTTTTGTCCAGCTTACAAGAAAATGAATAACTAGCATCATTGTTTATGTCAGAGATAGATGCAGAGTCAGAAACTTTCAGATAGTAACAGAAAAAGATAACATTAGCTTACACTCAATATTTTCCTGAGATCTCAATTTTGGCATTGCTGAACATGAACTATGTTATAATGAATGATCTCCACTCTTTCATATGCTAAGAACTATATTTATACAATCATATCATGCAAACTTGTAAGAATCTATAAAGTACAATCAATTCTCTATGACCTTGAATTTTGTTTGTGATCCAGCCTGAGTACATTTCCAGATCAATTGAACTCAGTGCATCAAGGCCCTCCATTCTGTTTTATCACTAGTCTGTCTTTGAAGAGTTCCATGTTTATGACTCAGAGTCTTGTCTGTTTGGAATTGTACTAATATGTGGGACTGTAGGATAATGTGCTGGACTACAATGTCATTTTGAACTACAAGGTCGGTGGTTCAAACCCACCAGATGTACCTTGGAAACTCTATACGGGGTCAATATGTGTCAGAATTGACTCGACAGCACATAACAAAAAGCAGCAACAATATATCTAAACTAAATTGTATCTTCTTTCCTTTAGATGCTAAGATAATAGAAGAGACTTTTGAATGTAGATTTACCGTCTTAAAAATAGCTCCAGTCCTTGGAGAAGGACATCATATATGATAAAGTGGAGGGTCAGTGCAGAAGAGGAAGACCCCCAACAAGATGGACTGGCACAATAGCAAAAGCAATGGGCTCAAGTCTAAAACAATTGTGAGGATGGCGCAGGATTGGGCAGTGTTTCATTGTGCTGGGCGTATGTTCAATGTGAGTTGGAAATGACTCGATGGCACCTAACAATAACAACAACAAAAAAAATAAACAAAACCTACTTAGATTTTTCTGCAAAGTGAAACAAATGTGCTTAATCCTAGGGATCGACTGTGTTTTGCATATGTGTGAGGAAATGCCGTTGAGAAAGCAGAATATAGGCTTATGTGACAATTGAAGAATTAATTTTGATATATCTATATAGGAGCTCTGGTAGCGTAGTGGTTACGAATCGGGCTGCGAACCGCAAGGTCAGCAGTTCGAAACTACCAGCTGCTCCGCGGGAGAAAGATGAGGCTTTCTGCTCCCGTAAGGATTTACAGCCTCGGAAACCCTGTACAGGGTCGCTATGAGTCGGAACCGACTCCACGGCACATAACAACAACAACAACATATGGGATCAAATTAACAAGCATCATAAAAAATTTAGAAGGCAGTGAGTTTTGTTAATGGTAGAGGAATAATTAGGAATAGGAATGTGAAAATGGTTGTACATTTTAAAGAATACAATCAATGTCTTCGAACTGTACACAGAAATTGTTTAATTGTTTTATGTTTTGTTGTGTATATTCTCAATAACAACAACAAAATATAAGAATTAATGTGCTTTCAAAGCTTAAAGGAATCACATTCCTTGATGTATTTCTACACATGACCTCTCCAGAAGGCACTACTTTGCTGCCCATCTTAATTGGTTTTTGCTTCTGAGTATTTTTCAGACATAATTTTATTTTTTATCTTTGCATTAGCCAGAAATAAGCACTGTTTCTCTGGAGGTGCAAGAATGCTGCAGTTATATACGGAGCAGTTCAGAAAAGCCTTCTGATTCTGTGCTCATGTAGCTCTCTGAAGAATTATTAGGTGCCGACCAGGCAGTTCCAACTCATAGCAACCCTGTGTGCAACAGAATGAAGCACTGTGTCATCCTCATAATTGTTTTTACACTTGAGTCCATTGTTGTTACCACTGTGTGAATCAATTTCATTAATGGTAGTCTTTTTTTTTCCCGCTGATCTACATGCATAATATCCTTCTCCAGGAAATAGTCCTTCTGGAAACATGTCCCAGGTACAAGAGACAAAGTATCACCATAGTTACTTGCAAGAAGCAAAACGATAACACTTTTGCCTAAACAGATGTTCTCCTTCTTCTAACAGGTCAAGGTGCTTCTATTTTTTATGGCAACATTATAACTCAAATGCTTCAATTCTTCTCCAGTCTTACTAAACCACTGTCCAGCTTTCACATGTATATGAGGCGACTGAAAAACACCATTTTTGGGGTCAGGCACATCTAAGTACTCAAAGTGACATTTTTGTTCTTGATCACTTTTAATAGGTCTTTTTTCAGTAGATTTACCTAGTTTAATGTGTGTTCTGATTACTTAACCACTGCTTCCATGAGTACTGATTTTGGATACAAAAGTATTTCTCTTAAGAAGAGTAGGGAAAAAATGTTAGCCTGGAATAATATTAGATCAATCATCAGTAAACCTGAGATAAAGAACAGAGAACCAATGACAAGTATTAATAGTCCAGTATAGATTCATATCAAGTATAATCTAGACGTGTAGATTTAGACTGACCAATAAATCAGTGACCTGCAAGATCATGACTGGAACCAGGTCATTTGTAGTCATGGGCTCACTGTGCTGGAATGAGCGATCGGTAAATGGGAGACAAAATAAATGACATTCTTTGCCTTAGACATTTGACAAGAGGATAATGGTTAATTATTAAGTTTAAAAACATGTTGAAAACTCAGAGTGTAGAAAAGTTTTTATTCATCTCCACCTGCTCACACTGAAATTCAATGTTCTCTTACTTCAAAATGTACATGGCCTTACAGCCCATGCTTTCTCATACTTATATACCTTAAGAAATTAATTTTAGGGTTTATAATAAATTTACAAGAGTTTACTATATTAAGAAAAGGAAGTAAATAAAACTTAAAAGCAAAACTTTTAAAGAATGTGTCTGACTATTCTTCAGAATGGTCCTTAGAAGTAAAAATAATAAGACCTCATCTTGCTTACTTTGCACATCGTTAGAGGTAGTAGGAACAGTCCCTAGAGAAGTACCTCATGCTTCATATAGCGGAGGGTCATCAAAAAAGAGGAAGACCTTCAACAACGTGGTTTGAAACAGTGGCTGCAATAATGGATTCAAACATACTAATGTATGTTTTTATTGTATATGAGGTCACTGTGAGTGGGAACCAATTTGACGCCACCTAAAAATGAGTCGTAGTGTGGTGCTGTGGGTTAATGCACTGGACTGCAAAGTTGGTTTGATCCACAAGGTCAGCAATCCAAGCTCATCAGCTGCTATTCAGAAACGCTAGAAAGGGTCATTTGGCATTTAACAACAACAAAAAAAAACAACAAAGAGTATTTGGAAAATTCAATGGGCTTGGGAATCTAATTACAAAGAATATATGTAACAGGAAGTGTAATAAAACTGGTCTACGTTGGAGATAATTACAGAATGGTGCGGGTCACTGGATATGATCAACTAGGCCCTTCCAAGATTTTTCCTTGCCTTTAATTATGTCTGGACACACACTTGCATTTCAAGAAAGAAGCTGCTGTCAAACCCCGTTACTTTCAGTGGGAAAAAAATTCTCCATCTGACTCTTATTAATAGACATCCCCAGTTAGTGAAGGAACTAAACCCACATGGTTTTTATTAAAATATATGCTTGACTGAATAAAATTATCTGATATAGTTCTGGGGCTTTAAATAAAGATATTTGGAGAAAACAACTGCTAGTACAAAGTTCCTTGTGATCGATAAAGTACATATTGTGGTTCATTTGATGATAGAATAATCAGAACAGAAAATAAGGCAACTTATAAACTTTCTGATAAACAGGTATCTAAGATATATTTTAATAAAATCAAAATAGTGAAAATGGTGTTGTGGTTTGTTTTCTTGTTTTTTTGGTAGAGAGCAAAAGAGAAACTATTTAAATTAAATATCGCTTTGAAATGGCTAGGATAAACTCTGGCCATATATACCAGTTCTTAAAGAAAATACTTGAATTGCCTACCTACCACTGTCACCCACTGCCATTGAGTAGGGTCTGACTCTGATCCTAGAAGTAGGAATGCTCCTTAAGGTTTCTGGGACTATAAATCTTTTTTTAAAATAAGTTTTTATTATGAATTGAGTGATAGTTTGCATTGGAGAGCGTCAGCTTTACATTAATCCTATCATATTTCATTTCATTGCAATGATTTTTAATCCCCTACATATATCATTATTCAACAGCATTTGCTTCCAATACCTCTGT